GAATGGAAATATTTAAGATCTTTAATAAAAATGTCTATGTCTCGTAGTGCATCAGCCATATTACATTCGCGTAACCATTACGTTTTGACATCATTTGTCCCCCTTACATCACATTATGAAATACATAAGTTTTGGGGTTAACTTTCAGACTCAGTAAATAGAGGAGTTCGCAGTCTAGTGTATAATATAAATGTCTATAGTTCTGCAGCTACTTTCTGATATTCACTGTCGGTATTAAAGATCTATGTATGTAATACGAACTATATATTTTCAGTAGTGTCAGTAAATATTGCATCGTAGCCTCAATCATGTAACTTTTTTCTAGAGTGGAAACATGAAAACTTTTTCCATTTACTTTTTCCATATTTCAAGATGCGTTCCACTTACAATGTAAAATCAATGGCACAATGCTTTTTTTTCTAGCTGGATTTGCGTGCTTGCTAAGTTCTGGATGACACCCGTTTGACCACGTTCCGATTGACCACTAGCCACTCACAGGGACCTAAAATTTTTCCATTGTTCAAGCGCTGTAAATGGCTAGTGGTCAATTGGGACGTAGTCCAAAACGAGTGTCACCCCTAAGATCTTGTCTTTGATTGATACATTTTTTTTAGATCTAAAAGAATATACCAATCAAAGACAAGAGTTCAACAAGCACGCAAATATAGCTAGCAAATCAGCAGGAAAAAAAGCATCATGTGCCGTTGGCTTTACAAATGCTTCGAAACATTTTTTGATTGATCAATTTATAAAATTTTTCGTTCTGATTGGCCAATCAAACGCTTCGAAGTATTTGTACCAAGTGGACCGCGCCGTTAATATAATAGTAAAAAAATGTCACATTTCCTAGGGAAAAAGTTACATGATCGATATGCGGAAAGCCACAAGAATAAACTCAGGACTCTAGTTATATCGAATCGCATCGAAGGAGATGGACTTTCTAGAATATCTCAGCTGCATCATGCCTGATACCAAAGTTCGTGGCGCGACGTCCTGATGGGTAGGGAACGTTAACATGGCGACTTGTGCGGTGAGTTCGGCGAGTCGCACCCTGTCGGAATGGTTTTACACGGCAGTCGCGTGGTGAATGTTCGTTGACGCGCGTGTAACTCGTGAGGCCTGTTTACCGGGGTGCGAACGCGCGCGGGAGAACGCGTCCCTCCTGTGTGGCCGTTGTGACGTGCGCGCAACGCGATTGACAACGCGGACGTGGCGACCACGATGTCGGTCAGCTACGCCAGAATGAAATCGTGCCACGAGGCGTCGTCGCCGACATCGACGTCGATGTCAACGTTGACGTCAATATCGACGGCGGCGCCGAGTAACAACGCGCCGAGGCGCGCCGGCGACGAGGAGGATTGGCAGATGCAGCTGGCATTCTGCAAGCCTCGTCACAACGTCACGGTCGAATATGTCAATTGCATCAGTCAGACCTGGCGAATGAAGGAACGGGTATGTATGTATATATACGAATACGAATACGAATACGAATACGAATACGAATACGAATACGAATACGAATACGAATACGAATACATGCTCGATACGTCCGAGATTCTCGCCAAGACGTTCTCGTTCGCGAGTTGAATCGCAGTGAAACGCGCGACAATGAGAAGAAGTTGAGAGCATGCGATTTTCTGGGCCAAAAAAATTGTGATTTGCACGAATGAATGGATATGATCATGCGCACGTGTTTTCTAGATGAAGACGGTAAGCGTCGCTCTGGTGCTGTGCCTGAATGTTGGCGTTGATCCACCGGACATTGTCAAGACGCAACCGTGTGCTCGTCTCGAGTGTTGGATAGGTAATTAAATATTAGGATAGCCTTCCTAGTTTATTTACATCTTTCCCTCCCCCCGCTCTCCCCTTTTCTTTGCTTGTTGTGTAACTGCGATTGTGAGGTTAGGCGTGTGTATGGACGTACATCCAGTAGCACAACTATTTAGTCAAGCTAACTAAACTTGATTGTATACTAGAATATACCTTTAGATTTATTTTAAATATAGATAGAAATATTCAATTGAAATGAAACATTTAATAAGTGTTCACTGAACGTTGTACTATTAGATCCTATGTGGAATTATTTAAATCAATTGCTTAATATTGACTTTACTTTGTATGTCAACATTTTCATGAAGATTAAATATTATTTAATCGAGTAATTTTTCTCACGGTTGGCATTTTTGTAGATCCCTTGTCTGTGAGTCCACAAAAAGCACTTGAGACTATAGGTTCAAATTTGCAAAAACAATATGAACGATGGCAGCCAAGAGCTCGTTATAAACAGAGTTTAGATCCAACTGTCGAGGAAGTAAAAAAGTTATGTACATCTTTAAGGCGAAATGCTAAAGAAGAGAGAGTTTTGTTTCATTATAACGGTCATGGAGTACCCAAACCTACTACTAATGGTGAAATATGGGTATTCAACAGAGTCAGTATAAAATCAATATACAAATTTATATTCTTTACATTTGATATAATATTAATGTCGTATATAATATTAATGGCTTTCTACCTTTTTAGACATATACGCAATACATTCCATTGTCAGTATATGATTTGCAGACTTGGATGGGTGCACCTAGTATTTATGTATATGATTGTTCTAATGCTGGCATTATCGTTGAATCTTTCCAGCAATTTGCTGACCAGCATGAAAAGGAATACGAAGTAAGTGATATATAAATAAATTTTGTTGATTCTAAATGTTAATGAAATACATATGTAAACATGATTAAGTTAGATGAGATTATTCTTCATAGATGGAAAAACAGCAAAACCGTGCGACTGGAGTAACATGTCCCGCAGCACCATGTTATAAAAATTGTATTCAATTAGCAGCATGTGCAGCTAATCAAATTTTACCTATGAATCCAAATCTACCTGCAGATATTTTTACCTCATGCCTTACTACACCAATAAAAATTGCGATACGCTGGTAAGAAATTTTGATGTAAGCATAAAACAGTCTACATTAATCATATGTATATATACAATAAATTTTTTCCTAGGTTTGCAATGCAGCCTACGTCCAAATTAGTTCCCAATATATCACTTGATCTTATTGATAAGTAAGATTATTATTAAGCAAATTATTATTTCATTGTTTTGTAAGAGAATAAGAAATAGTTTATAAATATCTCTGTGTATGTATTCTAGAATTCCCGGACAATTAACTGATAGAAGAACAATGTTAGGCGAACTTAATTGGATATTTACCGCCATTACCGACACGATAGCGTGGAATACTTTACCGAGAGGTAAAAGATTTGTGCTTTAAACTTTGCGAAACTTTACAAGAATAAATGTATAGTTATAATAATTATAAAAATATTGTCTTGTAGATTTGTTTCAAAGATTATTCAGGCAAGATTTATTAGTTGCTAGTCTCTTCAGAAATTTCTTATTGGCTGAGAGAATACTTCGTTCTTATGATTGTACGCCAGTTTCTTCTCCGAAATTGCCTCCGACTTATCAGGTAAATTTATTATTTCTCTGGATAAAATAGTTTTTTCAATATGTATAAAAATTTTAAATTATTCTTTGCTCTTAAATTTTGTGTTAAAAAAACTATGTATTTTTTCAGCATCGTATGTGGCAAGCTTGGGACATGGCGCTTGATTTGTGTTTGGCACAATTGCCAACGGTTCTCGAAAATGAAGATCGATATGTACATTCGTCATTTTTCGAAGACCAACTCACAGCTTTCCAAGTTTGGCTCAACTTAGGATCAAAAAGTCGTAGTCCCCCAGAGCAGCTTCCGATTGTTCTCCAAGTGTTACTAAGTCAAGTCCATAGATTAAGAGCGTTAGAATTATTAGGACGTTTCCTCGATCTTGGTCCATGGGCTGTAAACTTGGCACTTAGCGTCGGAATCTTCCCGTATGTCTTGAAATTATTACAAAGCAATGCCAGAGAACTTCGACCTCTACTCGTTTTTATATGGGCAAAGATACTAGCGGTAGATAATGTGAGTTCTATATTTTTGTATCTTCACCCATATGATGCTCCGCTATGTATATATTCTAATTTTAGATGTGAATTGCAGACTTGCCAAGCGGATCTTGTACGTGATGGCGGTCATAAATATTTCTTGTCTGTGCTGCAGGACACTTCTATCCCGGTAACTTAAATATTATATCTAATTTTATCCGGTAACTACATCCGGATTACAATAGATAAAGTTTCTCGTAACGAAAGTATGTTTGATAATGATTTCAGAGCGAGCACAGAACATTAGCCGCGTTCGTATTAGCCAGTATCGTGAACGAGTATCGGCCCGGTCAAGTGGCTGCTAATCAGGGTAGTCTCGTTTCAATATGCTTGGAACAATTAGGAGACACAAATTCTTTGCTACGGCAATGGCTTTGCTTATGTCTGGCGCGACTTTGGCACAATTTCGATAAAGCAAGATGGTGTGGTGTCAGGGATATTGCTCATGAGAAACTATTCACATTATTAAAGGATCCTGTTCCAGAGGTTGTGTATGATTTTAATTATATGACTTTAATTTTTCAGCTATGTTTGCTACATATATGTAAAGATCTACTATAAATATTAAAGGAAATATTAATTTTGATGCAGGTTCGGGCAGCTAGCGTATATGCATTGGGTACATTTATAAATAGCGTTACAACTAGGAGTGAGCACGCGAATAATATCGATCAAATTATCGCCATGACACTTATTAATACCGTCTCCCACGATATGTGTCCGTTAGTTAGAAAAGTAAGTGAAAATTTTAATCTGGAAAATATTGTCTGTTTTAATCTGGAATCGCAATAAACATTAATAAATTGCTAACAAATTTTTATAAAATTGTAGGAATTAGTAGTGGCTCTTCAATGGATGGTGTTGCATTTCGAAAACTCCTTCGTTACATTAGCCATGGCCGAAGAAAATAGTCGGAAGGATCTTGTTGTAGAAACTCTGTCTCCATTCAGCGGTATGAGGCGCATTAGTTCGCGTGACAGATTAAAGATGTTGTCTCCTAACAACACTTATACCATAGATACGACCGATGGATTTGGACCGCAGGATCGCATCAAGAGAGTTTCATCCTCGTCATCCATTAGCAGTCTAGGTAAGACATAGGACCATTTTTGAAGAAAGGCGGAAATCAATTAATATTTTCTGTCTGAGCACTGGATTGAACAGTTATTTGCATTGATTCTTTCGTGTGTCAGGTAATAATTGGGAGTTCGTGAGGAAACCTTGCGAGTCACTTGGTAATAATGATTGGAAGTTTCATTGCATGTTCATATATAATTAATGCTTTTTATTTTTACAATTGTGCAATATCCACCTATGAAGTATATCGCTTTTCGCACAAGCTTTGTATAATAGCATCATTCTTTTTTTTTTTATTATTAAAATAGGTCTTTGTGATAATGATGTTTCATGGATTTTATGAAATTTTTCATAGGCCACAATTCTCTTGGAAACTTACCGAGTCTCTCTTATGGAAGTGTATATATGAAATTATGGCATGGATTATGCAATCTCGACAACGATCCTCATCCAGCGGTCGGTACTATGTCTCAAAAAATCACCAATCACATTCGTAATAAGGTATTAATATCTAACATATCGCTTAAAATTCAGTTGTATGATTTTTGTCACATGAAACTTTAAATATTTCAGGTGAAGGTATCTTCTACTCCTAAAGAGGTAATCGAAACGAAAATTTCTTCGTCATTGTCCCTTCCGCCATCTCCGTCAAATCGGACAGGTTATTTAAGGTTGGTTAAAGTTTATTTTATCTAAGATATAATCTCCATCTTATCTTTAATGATTCTTTTTTATTTGTTAACAATAGCAAAGGGGAATCGCCACCGCCGGCTGTCAACTCTGGAACGGATTTGTTGCGTTCTTCGAGAGTCTTATCGCATAGTAGTCGTTCAAGGAAACCTGTTCCTAATACAGTAAGGATCATAATTATTTTAATTATTTATTTTTTCTGACCTTAACTTTCCTAGGATCCAAGACAACACAATACAAGTGTCACATAAACATAAAATGCTAAACTTTATTTTCGAGTTCCCTTACAATAAATAAAGAAAATACTCGAAGAATGTGTCTATTAAAATATTGATATTTAATGAAGAATTATTCGATATGCGCAATTCGATATGCACAACAATATGCACATAGCAACATACAGTATGTATAATTTTAGATATCTGAAGAGACCGATGAAGTATCTGGAGCTAAAATTCCATTGACTACCTCCCAATTTGTTGAGTGGAGTTGCGCGCAATTTGCTCAACCTGTTAGTTTAGAAGACGAAATGGATGATGTGGAGAGCAGGCCATATCTCGAACGAGAATGGCGGTAAGAAATAATAAGAAAACTTTTCTATTAATGCAAATTTAATATTTTTGATATAAGTTTCATAGCAAGTTTTATGTTACATTATATTGTTTTAGATTTATACGTAACGCGAAACAAAGACAGGACGCAAAGGAGGAACAATTGCGCGCGCCGCAAAATAAGATGGAATCACAAATATATCATGCGAGATGTCCTCAGTCACCTCAAGTTCTAGTTTTTCATCCATTTGAGCCGCATTTAGCCGTGGCGCTGAAGGATTGTTTTGGGTACTTAAATTTTTTATTATAATGAATATTCTTTATCTTATATAAAATAAATGCAGGCAAATTAATTTTGGTTAAAAATTCTTTTAGCATATGGGATTATCAAAGTGGCACAAAAATGAGTTATTGTACGAGTAATGGAAACAAAATGAAATCGCGTATTACAGCACTTGAATTTATCAATTCTCATGATTTAACTCTGCTGATGGCAGGATCCGACGACGGTTCTGTACGAATTTGGAAGAATTACAGTGGTACGATAAGCCGCGATCCGATTCTACTCACGGCTTGGCAGGCACTGGCAGATGTACAACCCGCAACCAAGACCACAAGTGGTACTTATCGCGTTTAGTTAATTTATTTCTAGGCAACTAATTAACCGCTTAAGATTAATTTTTAATTTTTTATATTTGTTTCGGAATAATCCTGCAACAAGATCATTTATTTACAGCAACAGCACGATTGGTCACGAAGTGGGAACAGAAATCTCTTACTCTGGCAGTAACGGGCGATGTCCGCATTGTGAGGCTTTGGGATGCGGAAACCGAATTGAAGAAGCAAGATATTCCAACGGGCGCCGATTGTTGTACCACGTGCATCGACGTTGACGGCACAGGTTAGTTGTCTGAAACAGAACTATTTTCTCTTCTCATTACATGTTTCATGTTTTATACATTACACAATCTAACATTTTTTACACAACAGTGTAAAATATCTCAAATAGCTAGTCCAAACTTAAAATTTCTTTTATAGGTGCAATAATGGCACTGGGTTGCGGCGATGGATCGGTTCGACTTTTAGATCGGAGATTACCCCCGGCAGAAGCGAGAGTTATGACTTGGAGGGAACACACCGCTTGGGTATTAGGCACGTTTTTAAGACAATCGGAAGGATCCGTACCACAATTATTTACTGGATCTTCCACGGGCGACATAAAAATTTTTGATCTTAGGAAAAATTCTTCCGTAAATACGATTCAAGTAACACCAGGCATTGCAGCACTGACCGTGCACGAGATAGCTGATATTTTTGCTTGGTAAGCATAATTAAATTTATTTTATTAATATTATTTAATTTATAAATTATGTCAATATGATTATTGTAGATTTTAACTGTGTAATTAAATCTTAAATCATATTAATAATATGCATATTAATATTCCACGATTTTTTGTGCTAAAGAAAAATACATTTTTGTTTCAGTGGTACCACAAATCATTGTATTAGCGTTTACAATATATTGGGACAACATCTCAACACGATAAAATTCCACGAGGGATTCATGGGTACACGCCTCAGTCCTGTAAGCTGTCTGAACTTTCATCCGTATCGGGTATCTTTGGCGGCTGGTTTCGTAGACAGTACTTTTACTGTATACGAGCCACGCAGATGACTATTAGAGATAGAGCTCGTGTAAGATTCTTGTAGAATTTTGTAAATTTATAAAAGTGCTTCACACATTCTTTACGTTTCCCATTACGCGTTGCGATGTTGTCGACAAAATCGAGGCTTTCTGCCTTCGTGTTTCCGCGAGAGAAATCATGTAATAATTCCTATGATGACGATAGAGTAGCCTCCCTTTTCCTGCTATTTTGACTCGCTAGAAAATCAACAATTTTGCCTGTTATTTTATGCAAAAAGAGGAAGAATATAATTGTAATTTTTGTGATAAAGTGTAAAAGAGTAGAAGTTAACCAAAATATTTCGAGGTAACCAAAGATTAAGATACGATTAACTATCTTTATGTAACTTTTGATGCGTAAGATAGTGACTGTCAAAAAAGCTTTGGTGTCCCGGAAAACGCTGATGCGTAATAATATGTATACATTGTGATAAAAGATTGATGCGAATTTACGCTAGCGAAAGAAAGAGATTAACGTTTAACGAAAATTTTACGCGTATGGTGAGATAATCTCAGCTATTGTGTGCCATGTAATATCTACTTCAGAATTAAGCTGTTTCCGTACAAACTTATGTATGTAATGGAAATATTTTAATTACCGGATTGATTATGAGACGTGGCTGTGTAAATATGGCTCGCATTCTACGCATTTTTACAAACTACGTGAGTAATCAGTTTTTATTAGGAGATATTTTGCTATTGTCGATATAATATTATTTTTCGTTTTTAATTTTTTTTTTTTTTCTATCGTATTCCTGACCAGTAAAATAATGTAGTTTTGTTTCAAATAATTTTAATCATTACCGATACATCGTACAAATTTTATTTAAATCAATATAATTTCGTAAGTATTAAAATCCAATGAAGAACATATTCGTTATGTTTATTCGAATGGCAATATTAGATATACTGTATGTGCAATATTTCTAGATCGATATTCATTGATCTATATATATATATACAATTGCAGCAAGCTTTCCGAATATAATATACCAAGCTGAACAGAAAACATGAAAATTACGGAGGGAGAGAACAAAAAGTTTGAATGATATTTTTTTTTTATATATATGAATGTGTGTGACTTTTGATCAATTATTTATGTAAGTCTATTTTACAAAAGCATTTAATTGTAGATGTTTAATTATATACATAGCAGTTACAACGAAGTGTCATCGTTTAGACCTTTACTTCTTAATAGCTACTGGTGATTAATCCAACCGTGTTACATATGTCCATTGAAAATTATATTAAATATTTAGAGATTATCGCGTCCCCCTCCTCTCCCCTCTTCCCTCTGCCCCTCGATGCATCAAGTTGTATTGACAAGATATTAGCAATTGTATCGATGGTTGCGCGATTGTATCACTGGAAAAATAATGGACAGCGAATTTTAAACATTTATATTAATTAACGTTATTAATTAATTAATTAATTTATTTATCAGCTTGTTTCACTTTCTCGGTAAGCTGCTGCCATTTTCACATTGAATGCATAATGCGTCGATACTCACGGGAACGGAAAGCAATCTAGCTTATTATTACAATGCATAACGTAGAACAAGTTACAGTTAAGAATACAAGTAGAACATGTTAATGTTATACAAGCAAGAATCGATTATATTACTGTAATAATAGGCACATTGTAAATACGTAAATACACAATAGAAAACTCGCATTCGTGAAAAGAGGAAGGGAGTGCGAGAAAAACAAGTGCACAGGTAGCTTTGTATCTCTTTATATTACATGACAGTTTGGTTATTGATACATCATAATCTGAACGTGTACGAGAAAGCGATGAAGATCGATGGATTTGTGTATGGTATTATAAGAATTCTGACCGATCGCAAAAAAATTTATATAAATATGCAACAAAATGCGACACGTAGTGCCAGATGTACTTAATCGTTAAGTCAATTGTGAAAATCATGTGTTATCTCTTTTTTCTTTTTAAAAGAATTTATTCATTCCGTATTTTGCTGCCAACGAATTTGGGCGTTAACATTATCCGTTGTGTATTTCTTGATAAATTCTTTCTATCTTTAGTGCGTCCCACTGTATCTGTTGGATTATACGTTTAACACTGTTTTTACCAGTAGCAAATCATTTTTACTCTTGGAATTAAATTCTCTACATTGCGTTGCGTTTGGACAATAAAAAAAAGAAGAAGTAGAAATAATTAAAAGACCAAAAGTAGAGTAAATCACACTTTAGATGCGAAATTAACGAAGCTATTTTGCGGAAATATTGTTATGAAAAAAAAAACATATCTTAGCTAATTTAAAAAAAAAATACTATTGATTAAATAAGTAATGAGATTAAATTAATTTGAAAATTTCACCGTAAAAGCTTTATCATGTATAATAGCTTTATTTAAGCTTTAAAGTTTCAACTATCGGGAGAAGATCGGTATGGACACGGAATTGGAATGTGTGTAATTTATGAGTTCAGCTATCAATTATCAATTATAAAAACTAATAATAAATTGCATTACAGCCAATATCACAAATGTAATTTATAATTAATGTTAATTTATTATTTTAAATTTTATTGAGTTTATTCTGATGTCGTGCCTATATCGATTCTCTTTTCTTCTAAATTCCATGTTTATATTAAATTTCATGTCTATGAAGATGTTATTAACGTGGAAATATCAAAGATGCGATATTACGGAAAAGATTTATAATTTCGCAATGTTAGCAGATTGATTTTGAAAAAAATTTCAAAGATAGATTTTCTCAAGAGACGGATACGTAAGAAAAGTGATGAATCTCTGATTGAAATTTTGAATAAAAATCCAATATAAAATCCAATATTCTGACAAGTCTAATAATAAAAGTCTAATAACACTATAAAATATTATTTTATTATAGATACTAAAAGCAAAAAATTGCAATTCTTTTTTTTTGTCACTGTCTGTCGTGACAAATTGATTTATCATATACATATGTATCCCAATACTCGGCAAAATTACATCGATATAATTTTTATAGATAGCTGCATGAGATAGCTGCTCTGCTCTATGTATTATATACAATTCGGCGATCGCATGCACCGTTATTATATCGTTAACTAGCAATAACAATCACGTTAAGGATTTGCAAATATTTATGGGATAAATCGAGGAGAGGTAAATGCGAAGTATCAACGATTTTGATACTGTATATTATTGTACATTTGTGTAATTATATAATTGCCTCGCGTAGTAAACTACATGATCACGTTACATCGACTTTTTGTGTAAATAACGTAAAAACTCGTAACTTATTTTTCCCATGATATTCTCCCATGATATCATCGTATCTTATATATGCTCTAATATTGACAAGATTGAGTAGTAATTAATCGATTACAAGTTCAATAATAAAGTTAAAAAATTGATAACTTTTAACGTAACTTAGTTAATTTCAAATGAATTAACTTTATTGAATTTTTATATATATATTGGCGTTTTCTCAAGTTAAATTTTTTTACATCGCTTTAACATAATATACACTAATTACACATTGAAACTTTAAAAAGATATAAAAAAGATTCAATTTTTTTAAGTCGTTAAATCGTGTGACTCCTTGATATATCTCTGTATCGGTGCAATTACAACAGACCTTATAACAAGGAGAAGATTTTTATATCAATCGATAAATCAATAAATATTATACCTGTATTTATAGATATAAAAGTAAGCGATAATTTTTTTGAAAACTGTTTCTATTTTCTGATTCTTCGCGTTGCTCAACGTATGCCAACAGGCGATTGTGCGAGGTTGTAGGCGCAGCTTATTAACGCATACGTTCAGTTGACGCGACATTTCATTCAAGCATGAATACCTCTCTCGGCGGCTCGTACGCATTCGTGCATGCGGAATGCACCGCGGGTGGCACGGTGAAGCGGTTGAAAACGCCAAGTTGAAATGGCACGATAAGAGCTTTTGTTTAGCTCCATTGCATCCATGAAGCGGATAGCGTATGCGGGACGATCTTATCGCGCATTGCACCGTGACGTGAAATTCATCGCTATCAGCGATCAGAAACGTGATGCTATTTCACACTACTGACATTACTCTCAAGTTGGCGCCCAGGCTACCCAGAAACATCGAGGTCTTGAAGGTATCTGAAAAGATACCTGAAAGATATCTCTTTATTAGACTTCTTTATATACCTTCACGTTATTTATGAAAGCTATATAAAAGTCATATAAAAGATATCTAAAAACAAAACTAAAAGATATATTAGAAGATTTTCGTGAAACATTTTCAAAAGATATCTATAAACATCTAAAAGATATATTAGAAGATACCTTTAAAAATTTGTAATGAACGTATTATAGATCTAAATGATATCTCTTAAGAGAGATATATCTTTTATATATATATATCTGAAAAATATATACTACACGTGTTAAAGATATCTCAAAATACGTCTTAAAAATATTTGTAATAGATACATTAAAAATATCTTTCTGAAATATTTTTAAAAGATAAAAGAATTTATTCTTTATGTTAATATCGTCAACTTTAATTTTCGTTACTTTTCACTTTGTACATTAGTGTAATTATTATTTTATAATAATTACATTTTTGATATATTTTCAAAGATATACCGAAACGCATAACTGTGAAAATCGTGACAGTGTTATTTCTTTTAAATAAAATATAAGATTCATAAGTAGATTATATAAGATTCTGTTGCACGTATATACGCGCATGATTTTAGCAATATAATTATGTTATTTAATGATTCGATTCAATTTAGTTTGATTCGAATGAAATTTTGTTTTTTTCGATTTAATTTGATTCAGATTCGAAAAAAAGAAACAAGATTCAACTTGATTTATTAAAAGTAAAAAAATTCTTATTTATCTGATGTGAAAATTAACACGGCTTAACGGACAATGTAGATATTTATCGCAACAAATAAATAATAAAAAGAATAAAAAGAAATCGTTTAATCCAACGAAGGAAATAATGCATTTTTCTTGATCGATTTGAATGATTTCATCCGCGAAAAAACCGCTCCGCTGCTAGATGAATTGGAAATGAACGAATGAACGTGAATAAACGTGATTACGAATTCGGCGGATTTGCCCGTTTGCATTATTCACGTACGAATAGCGAATTATGAATCGTGAAGCATAAATCATAATCACAGTTTGGCGTTAATTTAACTATACATCGCGGACACGCGGCTCGCATGTATCATTGCATGTCCCATTGTGCAAGACAGACGCTCCGGAGGCTAATTCATTTATCAAGTTATTGATCGAATTTATGATTCATTAACTAAATTATTACTAACTTAATCTTGTATTTTGTAATTGTTGCACTATTGCATATGTAAATTATTTAGATGACATCGCGTTGACGCAAACACATCACAACGCATCACATATTAATGAATCATACTTAATACATCATTAATTACGCTGTTTAGATTCATTCCTTTATACTAGGTGTCGCGCGTATTCGCGCATTTCATTTTTTTTAACTTTCTCTGGATAATATGATCGTATATTCGAAAGAGATTCTCGTATAATTTCTCATTACACTTTCTGGCGTTGCAATCTAATATGCCTACAGCGATGAGCTTTCACGAGTTTTATGTCGAATCAGAGATGAGATTCTTATAAGGCAGTTACGATACGATATGAATGTACACACATGTGCGTTTAAAACTTGGCTAATTTCGATTGTCTTATTATCTTAGTTTGGCCAACCTGTGAATTAGCGTTTTATATAAATTATTATTTAATTAATTATTTATTAATGCATTTTTTTTGTCTTCGTAAAAATACCTATAAGACTGCAGCGGAGATTAGCGGTCTGATAGATAATCTAGGGCGCCTCTATATTTGCATTAAAAATGTTTGCTAAAACTCTTGCTTCCACGTTTTAATCTTATCTGTTCTTGTTTAAAGAAATTCCCGTTATTAACAGAGCGACCATTATCTATATTAGGGAACTCTATTAGGGAGAGAGAATGGCTCTTTATTAGATAAACAGAATCAGCTTAATAATCTGATACGATCGGAAGGCGACAATGAATTACGCTATTTCGTAGGTTTTTTTATCTAACGCGCGTTTTATCTCAGATACTGACGCGCATTTCTCAGAGAACGTGAGAGAGATAAAAATCAGATCGAATGGAATTAATATCCTCTGAAAAACATTTATAAAATATTTTGGAACACTTTAATAAATAAATGGTAAATAAATCAATAAATAACATTAACTATAAATGTTTCATTATCACATATCCGCATTATTGTGTGAAAATAACGAGGCAATAAATTTCTATAAAGGACGTTCTTTCATTAATCGAAAGTAATTTTCTGTTTTCAATCATTCTTTATATTTACTTAACTCCTCGTTTCTCATTCATCTTTGTCTAAGCTCTTAGAATTCAGAACACATCTCTGACACAATTACGTGAAGATAGTCGCTCGCCGGATCTCGATCGAGCTGGTCATGAGCGGCGAGCTGTAATTCGCGGTGTGCGCTCGTACCTCGTACGTGCTCGGCAGTATTCGGCAAATTCGCGTGACGGGAGAGCGGGGAATAGAAGCGAAGCGCGGCCCCCGGCCCCAGGAGTGAGGAGGAGAACGAGCGGCGAGCGGCGAGCGGCGAGCGGCGCGCGCCGCGGCGCCGCATCGCTCAGTTTTCTTCGAGAAGTCACGTGGGGAGGGTTACGCGTGCGACATCGTACGCGTTTACGCTTATGAAACGTCAAAGGAACGCGACGTTCGCGTCTTTCTTTTCGGCGCTTTTACGCGCCGCCTGCACCTGATCGCGAGACACTTCTACACCGTCGTCAAACCATCGACCGTCACCGTCATCGTCACCGGTCCGAAACACCTGAACGTTGCGGCGCGCTCCGTCCCGTCGCAATCAACAATCGTGACAGCCAACAGCATGGATCGATCGTCGAAGCTGATTCTACGGAGACTCATTATAGATTTCCTGTGCCTGTTCATAGGTAAATAGTTTGTAGAAAAACGTGCGATCGGGAAAAATCGTTCTTTAAACTCGGACGAGGAACGCATAAAGTAAACGATTGTCAGATTGACAACCGAGGCGCCGTACACGACGCGCGCGCGCGCGATTTGTTTAATGTCCGACTGCGCCAAGTGAAGAGCGGGTGTTACCTTTAAATTGGCAGGTGTCGTTTTGTCCGTGTGAGAGCACCGCTCTCTGTGTCTCTCTCTCTCTCTACAATCGTCCGTTGCTACTCTTGTTATTGCGAT